ACAGATTTCCACAAAACATGTACGAGAGATCTGAGGAAAGGAATACAACAGAGCGAGAAAATGAAAACGAACTTGGACGGTGAGGAGATCTTTCTCAAGGTGGCCGACTTTCATCAGGCATGAGACCTTGATCGCACGGCTAAGGCGTCGGGACGGGCAACAGAGGGAACACTCACTACGAGAATCCGTACAGGAAGACTTGCAGGTGGGCTCTTGATTTCTGCACTTTCATGGTGGTTTAATATCAGAGGAAGGGAGCTCATGTAGCCATGATCAGACAGCTGCGAGCGAAACTCGATAAAGAAGGTAAGAGCGGTGAATCTTTGTATGAATATTGTTTCTAGCGGAGCGAAGGATCGATCTGAAGATATCTCGAGGGGACTTCAATGCAGTGGTGACACTAGAGAGAGTTGAGCCAGTTCGTTTTGTGCATCTTCGTCGCAGCCTGAAGAATCGGGAAACTCTGTCGAGTCGTACTCCGGGAAAGTCATACGCTCAGCTCCATCAGGACATAAGCGACGACTGAAGCCGCAGGTAGGGCTCCCAATGCCATAATCATAATCATCACCATCATTATCATCATCATTTTCTCCCCGTAGCCACCACCTCGGCGAAATCCGCGCAATAAGTCGAAATTTCTGCGCAGGAGGCCGATGTTCAACCGCACGCCAGTAAGTCCGTACGTGGGAGTCGTAGAGTGGTGTTCGTCATTCAGATTATACCCAATCTTCCTGATGGAGCTGATCTCACTGCTGAGCTCCCAAGGCTCTTTCCTGGTCTGAGAGGTGAGTATTCTATCCGACAATAATCGCGCGCGCCATCCTAATCGATCAAGACGACTTTCAATGAGCATTCATCCGCCTGGCACCTATACGTCAAAGTCGCTCAGCCCAGTCTATGTGAAGAAGGCTTCCCTGTTCAGGTCATCAGGGAGGCCTCCGTATCCTGCTGCGACCGGAAACCTCTACAACAGTTGATGCAAGGGACGAAAATGATGAATCCAACGACTACACTCCGCTTTCGGGCAGAAATGGATCGATAGCGGAAGTGGCAGCTAAGCGTAGAGAAATTTTCGGAAGCGTTCACAGGAACATAATGATGCAGCTTGGGGATGAGATGCGATGGTAACATGAAGAAATCCGCGTTAAACTGTGACTCTACTGGACAGGTACAAGACCGAATTGCAACACCGCCTCAATAACATAATGCGAGCTTTAGAGAGCGAACGGAGCCCGAGAAATGAATATTCTCCCACGTCAACGGCTCGCGAGGTCCGCCGAATTCGGGGCGCAGCAAGGCCGTCCTCTCTGTATTCTCACATCCCACCCATGACCGCTAGGTTTTGAATGATCGTGATGAGTGTAGGCTTTGATATTGTTGAGTTCCCTAGTGATTGTGTGAGTTCAAAGTCCAACGCCGACAACACGGCTTAGTTGAACTCGCATCGATGCACATTAGCTGACGAGGGAGAAATCCTAGCCTATCAAACTGGCTCGTTCATCATGCCAAGAAATGCTGCTCACAGGGCGAGGTAACCACTGCCTAGACACTTACCTTTCCTCTCGGATCTTATCACTGGGGCAAAGAAATATATTGACTTTTATATCACATCGGTTATTATTTTCTTTCTCTTGTTCAGTGTGGGGAGAATTATTCTCCGAGAATATACACATGTGACGATGACAATATGAAGAAACCGAGGTTTCCGATGTTGGTTTCCGAACATGAATTCGTATAAGCTTCTACTAATGAGGAAAGTCCTGGGCTCAGCCGAGGAAAGGGAACATCTATTCCTCCACCACTGCGCTATACTGCACATATTCGTAACACAACCCCACAGTGTCGAATACGGTCATTAAGTGAACCTCTCTGATGTTGATAAATGTGAGACCATCAGCTCTTTTCCGAACTGTTCATTATAAATAGCTAGACTGACGACTCCGACAATCCAACATGACAATATGACAACCTTTAATATTCTAGGAATGGGAAAGCAATTGCAACCCAGAAATAATGATAGCAGCAACCTGGACATCCAACGTCAGAATGAACTCGAGGGGAAACGTCAACTTACCCGATTGTTGTAGCAGTGACACTATGAACTACAAGTCGGGGCACCATGGGGGACAGTATTAAAAAGGTCAAATATGTTGGTATTCCTGGCTGCACCCACCTGAGAACTCCGCAGATTCCTATTTTCACTATTCACCTCATATTAGTATTATTATGTATGATATGCATTGCAATACATAAAATGGATGCGAGAATCTCGTTGTCTACCGCAGTCATCTATTCCTGATGATCTCCAGACCAGCTCTCGCCGTACGTCCAACACACATAAAATATATCAATAGTTAAAATGGAATATTCCTTTATTAAATATCCATATGATAGAAAGACAATACATTAGTATTAGATATATCATAAAGTATGGTACATAGCATTGCAGAGCTCACCTCCAACAACGATCCCATCCACCCCGACTCCCTGGTTCTTCCTCTTCTCGATGCGCTCGGAAATCAGCGGGCAATTTCGGACCAGCCTGACAAAACAAAATAGGAATATGATATTCCTATGAATATGCATATTCCTAATATTAATATGAATCATATTCCGAACATCCAAGTGCATTAGACGTCTTACCTGACTTGATACAATCTCTTTCGCTTCTGAAGCCGCAACCTTCATGACCCCAGTAAGTCCACGACTTCGAATCTCGCCAGCCAGATCGGCTAAGGCGAGTATTTCATCTCTTGCGAAGTCGCCAAGTCTCGTCACTGAGCTCAGCGTAGATGCATCATCACCAGCGGAATCTCTACGAATGGAGTAGTTCACATAGGAAGGACACGGGGGAGTGGTTGGAGCCTCATAATTTTGCATCCATGCGAAATCTTCAGCCCCCTGTCCCGGAGTGGCCTCTTCTGAACCACTCTGAGAAGCGGCATCCTTTGGCCGCCGCATATTGAATAGCCGAGCCGATTTGATAGCACCGTCCTTCAGCTTTATTGCGTACCTTAGTGTTGGAGGAATATATGTTCGCTCTCCATAGTAATTATTCACATAAGAATTCGGGTAGAAGTGTACAGAAACCACGTTCCCCAGACACATGCAGTTGACCATGTGCATATACTCACTATCTCTGAGACTCAGCGTGTGAGGTCTTATTCTTGGGTATTGAGTCAGCAACCCCTACCTGTTGTGTTGCATATCATATCCAACCACCGTGCCGAACTCGCCGTTCATCCATGGGAAACTCGTCAACCCACACAGCTGGACAGCCTGAGAGGAAAAACAATAAAGACTTATACCAGCCAAGTCCCCACTTCTCCTTCTGCTGGCCAGTCCTGATCGAGGAATGCATCCTCTGACCTCGGGCCTGCCTCCAAGTCTCGGACACTCACATCTACATCACTCGAAGATGAGCAGGATGAGAAGGAGGCGGTTGACAGTGACCGCGAACGTGGCGGTATGTGAAGCATTAGATACAACTATCAATCGATCTCAGCGCCACACCAAGGATGAGGATACGTAGGATCGATCATACGTCGAGTATCGACTTTAAAGTCTTTCCTCAGCGCATACTACTGAATATCACATCTAGTTCATTAGTGAAAAAATCAACCACGGACGGGTCGGCATGTACGTATGTGCCAAAGACATTTCACTTCCATCCACAACTTCGTGATGGACCTCCCAATTCTGCCCGTAGCTTCTCGTGTGATAAACCTCGTGCTAGTAGAGCTTTCAACTTCGCTAGTAGTATCCTCAAATTCGAGTTAGGCTTTCAATTTTCACCACTACGCTGCGAGATGTTCATTTTCATGACATAGGGAAGAACGATTTTCCTAATGCTTTACACCTGAACTTCAGCTCTCATTTGAGCTCATCCGTTGACTTGATAAACGTTTCACCAATGGCTCGTCCAATCTACCATGTCGAACGTGTATAATCTAGTTTCCACTCAAGAAAAATTGAGCTCATTTGAAATCAGTGCTGACGTTGGATGCTGACCATCGTCCCCAGACTTCGCTCGGATTCCCATCTCGCGACCTAGCAGTATCCATACACTGCGTAACATAATTCAGCGAACCGCATCGAGTGAGATCATCCATACCTTTTCTCGAGAATTTCCACAATGCAAAATTATACCTTTCTAATAAGAGAGTCATGGAAACCGCTATAAGGCACCACCTGGAGGCACCAGCGTTCAAAACAGATCTCAACGTTTAATCCCTCGTGTAGGAGTTATCGATGCAAAGATTGAGATCCAAATTTTCATTTCCCTAAAACTATACAACACAACATCACAATTCAAGGCTACCTTTGCAATGCAATAAATGCAACTTCAATGAGGTCTCATGTCACTACACGGTGTTGATCACACATATTGCAGACTGTGTAAGTGAGTGTAAAGCCCAACGTCGACAACATGGCATCAACTCACGAGGGATCAGTTCACACCTATTCCACAGGGAGAAGCTCGAGGCAGATAAGGCGGTTCCGACTGCCCATCCAACTACTCCTCCTAACTTCTCCTCCACGTATGAGTCCTCCACAATAGATCGAAGCCCCTACAGCTCCCCAACGAAAGAGAAAATGCTTTCTTTGTGAACACTACTTCAAAAAATACGTTTGGTTTCCTCACCTGAGCTCAGGAGTTTCCTCATTACATTTACACCCGACTAAGGTTAGTACAAGTGTACAAAAACCAGCGCGAATTCTGCCTATTGTCACCAGCACGAACGGCTGAATCTTCCATAACTGAATATTTTAATCTACCAATTTGACGTACCACTCCAGGACCAACTCTCGCCA